GATTACTAATTTAGATAAAATTTTGTTTAACAAATTGAATTTTTCGAAGAATAGCCTTTTTAACCTATTTAGAACCTATAATTAAATATGTAAAAAATAATATTATATATGTATTTAATTATAGGTTAATGGTAAGTTTTAGAAGATGTTTCTTAAAAATTGCTTCTGAATTCATCTTGACATTATTCAACCCATCTTCGATAACAAACTCATTCTTAAATACCCAAATGTCTCAATAATAAGTAATAATACTTCTTTCTATGACTTAGTATAGCTATTTTATTTATTTTTATTTGCTTTTTATCTTTTAAATGTACTAGAAGAACTTTTTATTGAACGTTACGCATTTCATTTGTTACTTTTTCAATGTAAATTAAGAGTAAAACTTCTTTATACCAATTTATTTTAAAAAGACCCAAAAAAACAAATTGGCCGATATGAGTAACATATAAAAATAAAGCTGGTTTCAAACTTAATCCGAACGTTCTGATAAAAAAGTTCCACCTCTAGACCTGAATAATAATCTTGTAACCTAAATAATCTTTGACCTGAATAAATTTTAGTGATAATGAGTTTGAAATAAATGTTTCTCCTTTTATAAGTGAGCCCAATAGAATTCTTGGTACTATGTTTTCAAAATTGATATATTCTATTTTTTTTTTTTTTTTTTTTTTTTTTATAGCAGAAACGCAAAAACATTGTTTTTGATCCACATAGTATCTCATTGTTATAAATTGCGAAATTTATATATTATTTATAATCGCATCCATAAAATTATAAGATATACAACGTATAATCTTATCGCTATACATTATAATATGCACTATTGCACTATGTATAATTTATTGTATGCACATAATATATTAAGACTTTAGAACCTGTCTTATTATTTTTGCTGTCAAACCATGTGATTATCTTTTTTTTCGCATCACTTCCAACCAGTCTGCTTTTCTTCAAAAAGCCTTTCAAGTGATCTGTAATATCTTTGTTGAATAACACTGCATTAATGCTGTCCTCACGTTGAACGGACTACATATTAAAAATTTATAATTAATATGCTATATAGCACATATAAATATAATACACATTTATTTTAATAATTATGTTACCTGTCTTCTTGAGACACTACGTTTTCGATTGCGAATCGCAACTGTTCGTTTTTGGATTGATGGAGACAATAAATTTGATTGCTCTCCCGGATTACCTAGCAAAGTTTTGTCCAATTCAAATGCAGCTGATGGTTCTAATTTATCATCAAGTAGCATTAAATCATTATCGCTATCCTTGTTGTCAACATTCTAAAAAAATAATTTGTTTGTAAATTATATAAAATGCATATTGATATAATTTATGTTGTGAACCTGGAAACGTGATATGTATAAACTGCGTATATCACGGGTAACAATTTCGACGTGTGAAATGCGGCTGGGCAGATCATTTTCCTTAATTAGGTAATCCATCAATTAATCTCGCTAATCTCATTAAACGGATTAATGAGATTAATGCAGAGTGATGTTAAATCATGTGATCGAAAAGCGAAGTGGCATACATTCAAGCCACACAACCGGATCAATACACCAGCGACCCCAAACCATTATAGAGCAATTGATTGAAGGTTGAGAAGCATATGTAAACAATGCACCAACATATGTAAATGACGTACAGAGTAATATAAGTATCAGAAGGGCTTAGGGACGTAAATAGTATGAATTAGTATATATTTAAGATCCAAGGATAAGAAAGCAAATTCTCGGTGCCTAACTCAGAACAAGCAATTCGCAAAAAAAAAAAATGTTCAATGAACAAAGAGGAATGTCAAGGATAGATCCCCAAACGAAAGCATATATAGATAACGCCTGCCAAACAACCATATCATCGCTCACTGAAAAGGTAAAAGAATTAATAAACCAGCAAGCCGAAATACAGAGGCAATGGAATGAACGAATGCAGAGTGCAATCGAGGAGCGTTTTAACAAGCTTAAACAGCTTGGCCTAACCAATAGTGATACAAATTCTAACAACAACCAAAATACTAATGAAGAACAGAACAACCATGTGACACTAGTAACTATAGAATCGCTAAACGAAATAAGAGATGACATATCGCAAAGTAATTATATACCAATATCAATTCTAAACAATGCAATATTAAACTCAGCATCAGTGAAAGTGACTCTATATACAAATATACAAGATAAAGCCCAGAAATACTTGCTAATAAGTTATACTAAGCTAAAGCAGCTACTAGCTATACAAGGTTTTTAAAATCTATTAGCAGCTAATATTGAGAAGAAAAGACTATGGTGGATATCTAACTGGTCAGAAGGACAAAAGATTATCGAGACATTATCTCAAAAACCTAATCTAACAACACAAATATGGAAATCAATCGCATTCAGTGCATATATTGATCTTCAGGAATTCACCTATAAAAATATAAAGGCAAATGCAAAATGCATCAATGATGAAGTACCACTACAAACTACTGATGGAGGCATCATTACTATTTAAAAGCGAGCAAAATATAATAAGTTTAATGCCATTTCTGAATGGCTCCTAGCATTTCAACTATATATAGAGGCTGTGTTAATAATTTATAACGAATATGAACATGAATTTAATTTCTACTGAGATCATATCAATAGCTTGTGTATTAAATATGAATTTGCTGCAGTAATAGCATATAATGAAGACCGAAAGCTGGCATTAGTAATGGATCGGGACACAACATTATTTGAGAGAAATTTAGAAGCCAAAGGAGAGAATTTCGATGTAACGACTATCAAGAAGACAAAAATTAATAATCCACATCTATTGAGAATTGATATTGCATAGCATGATGGCAAAGAAATTTGTATAAATTGGAATTGGAGAAACTGCAATGATGATAAAAGATGCAGCAGAATTCATGCCTGTTTATTCTGTAAAAAGTTAGGCCATTAAGAACGAAGATGTTTCATATACAACTCAGGCAGTAGCCAGAGATCAAGAAACAATGATCATACCAAAGCTCAAGCTAACAACAACTAATAGCAAAAATAAATAAATAAATAAATAATGATAATAACGATAGTAAAAAAAAAAAAAAAATAATAATAATAATAAATACAATATGTAAAATTAGGAAAATTAGCTAATTGACAAATGTAGATGAAATACTACAAGTAACCTGAATACAATAAATAATACTATACCAGATACATACATTAGTTGTTAGCAGTTAATAGTATATATATATAAAAAAAAAAAAAAATACTTAAACATGAATAATCATGTAAATAAACAAATATTAGACACAATATAGTAAACTAATAAAACATACATTCAGACAATAGATATAGCAAGAATTTTCACCATGCAGCTCAATACAAACTTTCATGAAATATGACTTCATGTGAATGACCACATCTCTAATTAGTAAATAAAACTTTGTTTAGTATACCTCCATGAGAAATTCTCTTTATAGCAGACGAGATCTATACATTAGCTCAAATTGACCCAAGAATATTCAATGTAAAGACCACAGTCGATATTCAAGCATTTGAAATTTTAACAAGACAACACCCTAACTGCCCCTTTATAGAATACTTGATTAAAGGACTAACAGATGGTTTCAGATTCAACTATACAGGCATACGAGTTAAAAGGATCCAAGAAAATCTGAAATCTATTGAATTAGATAAGGCATCTTTTGTAAAATATATTCAGGATAAATT